GCTCGCAGAGGGCACCCCTCGCCTCACCAGCTGCGTTCTGGTGCGCCCGTGCCCAGGCGGCGTGCTCGCAAGCCCTTGTGGTGCCCCGTCCAGCTGCTGCCTGCCCTTCCCCTTTGCTGTGACCTGAGGCTCTGCGGGGCCGCGGGCACTTTGCTCAGGTCCGCGTGTGTGTTCAGTGGGAATCGTGTGTGCCCGCCTCTGGCCTCTACCCAGGCAGCCCGACCCGGCGTCCCAAGGTGTCCACGGCTTACTACTCCCATATGCGCGGTCAGAACTCACGGTCTCAAGGGCACCGAAGGCGCTTTCGCATTTTAGGAAGGGTCTTTCTTAACCGCCGGATGCGCTCCGGGGCTCCAGGCGTCCTGCGTCCTGTTACATCTGTGACTAACGCGTTTTCTGCCCCCAGGGTGAGCTTGGCGTACTTCTAATTAGACCTGGCCCCAGGGCGCTGGGACCTTGTATTGAAGGGGTTTGGCAAGAAACTAAACAAAACCATTAGTGGGATCTTAGCTGCCTCCGAAGGCTGGGAACCATTGTGGTTCCCAGAGGCAAAGTTCCTGGCAAGTCGCGCCGAGTTGGGGGGAAGAATTTGAGTTTAGGCAGCCGGGAAGGGTCTGGTGAGAATGACGATAAGGAGTTTTATATCCTGCAAGGATAATTCCCGCGAGGCGTCACAGTCCTGAGCAGAAGGCGCAGAGGGACAGAGGAGACTGGGAAGGGACAGTATGCCTGCACCGCCCATAAACCAGGAGCCAAACATTAGTTTTTCTTCCAGAGTTACTAAACTACCCCTTTCTGGCTTTGATGGGCCGGTACAGGATCTCCAGAGTGGGTATTCCCAGTGTGCCTGGCTCAGAGGATGGAAAGTTGGGGTGGCTGGAGGGGGATAGCTGTTTCTATAGCACAAAACGGTTCCAGGGTGGGCTCCCGGATCCTTGAGGATTCTGTACAGAAGGATCTGCAGGTTAAAGCCTTTCAGTTGTCCAGGCCGAAAACTCTTAGGGAGAAAAACAACAGCAGAAGGGGTAAGGAGGGTGTGATAAACACACCAGTGGGAGGACATTCTCAGGCAGAGCTGCAGAAGTAAAGCCAGCTTGACAATCCGATTTTAACTTGACTCCAGCAGCTGCACTGCCTGAAGGTCAGACAGCCAGGGAGGGGATGCTGATTGGCCGGTCTTTGCAAACAGATTTCCATTCCTATTTCATTTTCAATAATAGAAAAGTGGAAAATAAACAAATCCACTTAAGCCAATTAAGACACAGTTTCAGTGTCCTGTGGGTTCAGGACCTAAGGCTGAGACCTGGTCAGGTGGTGGGTGCCAGCTGCCTGGCAGTCTGTCTCAGGCAGGCCACAAAATCCGTCCCTATTGGGGCAGCATTGTTAATGAGGCTGCCTCTTACCTGCTTCCAAGGAAGGTTACTGGAATCAGTATAGTGAGAGGCCGAACCTACTCCAGTGAAATGAAGAAATTGCCTATTTCCATTTCCGTGGATCTTTCCACTGGGCCAAGAAGATTATTAGGACTTCTAGGAAGTAGCAGTTACTCTTGGCTCACCTAACTGAAATTTTACAAAGTTCTTTGAAATTTGACTGCAATTTTGAAAGTAATTTACCTATGTATGGAATATTTTCAACACTATCATTCTCTTTGGCTAAATGGACCTTGGTCTCAGGACTTAAAGTACATGAGGAATTATTGATGTAGAATACATACCTAGGATAATTAGCAGAGATTTTTTTTTTTCCTTTTAAGAAGGGTAAAAGATTGGGGTTAGGCAGTGGCCCAGTGGGAATGCGACTTGGCCCATACCAGGAAGGACCCGTGTTGAGTACTGGAACCTCCCTGAGCACCCAGTGTTCGCATGCTTGTGTGTGCATGCCCGTGGTTTGGGCCGGCCGAGACGGGGCGGATTCCATCATGAGAACCTGTCGAGGGTGATCTGAGTCTCTCTTTTTTTCTCCTTCGTGGAAGAGATAAATGAACTTAGAAAAAATAGGGGGGTTTTGGACCATGGTGCAACAGTAAAACGTTGGGCTCTGCAGAGCTGACCCACCCAGGACGGTCCCAGGTTTGTGTCTTGGGGACGTGTGTGGCCTGTGGACCTGTGTGGCCTGTGCTCTGGGGCTGACAGGCTGGCAGGTCCCATCAAGACCCTGTCTCTTTCCTCTTCCCATGGAAAAAATAAACTTAAAAAAAAAAAACTATTAAAAATCCATTCTATCACTAGCTGGCATTTTTTGTAGGATTAAGCAACTGATTTTAAAAAATAAAGCATAGGACAGAATCAGGTCAACACAAGTAAACAGTCTTGTTGTGAGATGACTAGGACACAACATGTCATACATAGGACGGACACATGTCATACACAGGACACAGCATATCATACATAGGACACAGTATGTCACACATAGCACATAACATGTCATATATAGGACACAACATGTCACACAGCACATATCATGTCATACATAAGACATAACATGTCACACATAGGATACAACATGTCATACATAGAACACAGCATGTCATACATAGAACACAACATGTCATACATAAGATACAGCATGTCATACAACGGACACAACATGTCATATATAGCACATAACATGTCATACATAGGACATAACATGCCATACATAGGACACAACATGTCACACATAGGACACAGCATGACATACATAGGACACAACATGTCATACATAGGACATAGCATGTCATACATAGCACTTAACATGTTATACACAGGACACAGCAAGTAAGCACTCTTGTGAGATGACACACTTTGTCAGGTTGTTTTTGTCGTGGATACGTTTAATCACTCATCATTGAAAGCTTATCCCTTGGTGTACTTCAGGTGATTATCAAGAACAGTGATCAGGAAGTAACGTTTCCTTCTTGCCTCGTTATATCCTTTTTAATGCTGTAAAAATAGTTTGTGGGGTGATGGGAAAGTCTAGTTGGTTTAAGTTATTTGATTGTTTTTCTCCTTTTAAAATTTGCCGGAGAGTGCATACACTCACTGGAGAGAGACAGAGTGAGAGGGCACCCCCAGTGGGGCGTGGTCACGCTGCAGTTCCTTCTCTTCCATTTCTCCCTGCTTTCAGGATTTGGGGCATGTTTCTCAAGCCACAGGGTTGGCCATGTGGGATCCAGCTGCCTTAATCACAAGTCACTGGCTGGCTCTTGGTTGCCTGTGAAACCCCAGTGTATTAGAGCAAACTACCAAAAGCAGAAGCAGAGGCCACGCTTGCTTTCCTATTACTATGACTTACTCATCTGTCATCTCACGAAAAGAAAAGGAAACAGCAATAACAAAAAGCAGCAGTATGTTCATCTGACGTATATGCAAATATTTAAGTTCTGGCCCCCACACGTATAAATATAGTCTTCATAATATCATCGCTTCACAAAGTGTAAATTCAGAATACCAGGAATATTGCAAAAACAAAAATGAAAAATGCTACTTTAGCATATCCCTCTAGGAAATGCTGGTGTCTCGCGTATTTGTGATTTGGAGCATTGAATATGTATTATGGCTCACCAGCCTGTTTTCTCTCTTTAGCTCAGGTAAACCATTGTTTCTCAACCCTTATCAGTACATTTCTATTCAGTGCATCACTTAATTTATTTCATAAACTATGATACCTGAGGACAACTTACTGAGTTTATTAATATGTACAATGGACTCAGGATTTATAGGTTGTGAAAGTTGATCTCACAATATCTGAGGTCCCTTAGCTAGCTCAGAGTGGTGTTGTGAGGATTTAAAGAGAAGCTCTTATAATCAATGCTAAATATTACCTCCATCCTATAAATAAATAACAAGACCTTTAAATGTCCACTGTTTCTGGTTTCCCTTTGTTGTGCTAAATTTGTAAATGTGGTGCTCTTGTGAAGTATTTAAAATGACCTGGTACATAGCAAGAGCTTAATGAATGATGTTATTACGGCTATTATTATTATTGTACTGAAATTATAGTTCTCTGGTTCACTACAAAAAGCAAATGGCTTGAAGGAATTGGGGAAGTATTGTTAAAGTAGAACAAAATTTATGATCTTTCCTGTTTGTAGGAAATCTGAAATGTATTTGCCACTGATTAGAAAAACCTTTTTTATTGTAATGCGTCTATCACTATATGGGAACGCTGGGAGATATCCCAATAATGTGTAAGAAATAATGTGGTAAAAAGTTACCTTGCTGTGAAATACAGAGTTACATGTGTTACACTTTCCTTTATTAATCTAGGAAATAATTGTTTAGAAAGAAGTTAAATTTATAGATGATTGAAATGATCAACTATGGAACCACTCAATTGTTTCAAGATATGTATGATCCTTTGTTAATATTGGGACAAGGTATTTTATTATCATTTTTATTTGTCTTTGAGCATGCCCCAGCTAATAAGATTTCCATTCAATGATTGCATGTGCGGTATGAGTTATTCTGGAAAATGATGTAGTATTTCCCATTAGGTAAGGTATCATGGAGACTTACTGAGGACAAGACAAAAACAGGTCCAATGTAAAATAATAAATAATACCTTCTGTCAAAAGCTGAGAGAACCTTCCAGTGCAGAAGGCGTTGCCTCTCTAAATTTAAGCAGAGAAACGGTTGCCATAGTGATTTGTCTCTTAAAATAGTTGTGTGATTTCATTCTCATCATAAACAATGCCAGGTATTATCTCTTTAAATGAAAAAAAGCTGCTATCTTTAAATGCACACAGTATTTTCTTTTTCTTAATAGTGGAAAGATTTATATTTTGGATGCCATAGCAGAGAATATCAGCTAGGAACTAGGAGTAGATTGATATTTGTCAGGGATTAAGTTTTTTAAAACCTTTGCATGTGTCAGG